CATTTCTCTTTATGGCCAAGTAACCTTCCATTGCATGTGTGTATGTAGCATATTTGACATAGCCATTCATTTATTTTTACTAAAAAATTTTCAAATTAATTTTTTTGGTTTTTACATTTTATTTATTAATAATTTTATTGGGAGCTCTCACAGATTTGCAACAATCCGTATTTCAATAGATCGAGGATAATCATATAAATGCTACCACCATCAGTTTTAGTACATTTCCTTTCTTCTTGCATATCATTCACTTATTGATGGCCTTTTCAGTTGTTAACCGTGAAAAGTGCAAAGTGCTACGGTGGACCTTTGAATACGTGTTTCTATCTGTGCTCCTACTTTGACTTTGGGTATTTGAGGATAGGGATGGCTGGATCGCTAGTTCTGTGTCCAGCTCCTTGGGGAGTCAAACAGTTTTCCATTGTGGCTGCATCATTTTATATATTTATATTTAATTTTCTGTTGCTGTTGAGAAATGCACACAGCAAAACACACACCAGTTCAGTAATTTATGTGACACTGATCACATTCTCTGCATTACGCAACCATTCTGACATCCCTTTCTGAGCTGTTCCTCCTCCAATGCCACAAACTCGCTGCTCCCGAAGACTCCGGTCCTGTCTTTCCAGTTGCTGTGGTTTCCTGGCTCCCTTACAGATAGTTCTTAAAAGAGTCTAGTCCTCGAGGCAGACCTTCTTTATTAGTTAAGCAAAAGCATCGCTGGATCCACAGATGACTTCAGGAGATGGTTTTGGTTGAAATATTAAAGGTGATTTTAGGCCAGTCATTTCAAAGGCTCATCCATCCTCCATGGCACCAGAAAGTCTGTATCGCATAAGATTTTGATATTCTCTTCTGCATCTTTCTCCTTGCCACCAGGATTCTTCTATCGCATCTTTGTTGGCAATCTTCAGTAGAGTAGCTGGGTGACATCCGGGTATGCTGGTCTCACAGCAAAGAGGTTCACGGAGGCAGACAGCCGCTTCCATCTCCTCTTCCTTATTCTCCTTTTTCGATTCAGGCACACAGAGGCCATTTTAAATGCCTTAGATAGCTGTTTGAACATCATTTCGCCAGCAGGTACTATACGACCAACTAGGAGGTAGAATACAAACACTAGACACATGATTAGATCAATGAACTGGGATGTCCCATGAAACCAGGATTCCAAACCTCCAAACCAAGGAGGCAAATTCCATGAAGTGTTTGGTTATTCTTAAGCAGCCTCAGCACCTACTCATATATTATTGTTGATATATCACACGACCTTTGTCCATTTAGCTTTTTATAGGTGTGCAACTTACTGATCACAATTACAATAAAGGCTGTGCAACCACACCCTTAGTCAGGGTTGTTTTTCATTTACTGTTAACCCCTGCTTTTCTCCTTCCTCCTACACCTGAAAACCACTGCTACACTTTGGTCTCTGTACATTTGCCTTCTTATCTAAATGAGGGCGTACAATATTTGTCCTTTAGTGATTGATTTCACTCTGCAAAATGTCTTCAACTTCCGTCTATATTGAAACCTGTCTCAAAACTGGCTGTCTAGTTTGACATGGTCTGTATGCATCTAACTTTGTGTATTTATCCATCGGTTGCCAAGTGCTGAAGTTGTTTCTGCCTTTTGGCTGCTGTGACTAGTGCTGCAATGAACATTAGTATATAAGTTTCTGTTTGAGTTTCTGCTTTCAAGTCTTTGGAGTAAAATACCTAGAAGTGGAATTGCTGGCTCCTTTGGTATTTTTAATCCTTTGAGGAACTAGCCCACTCTTTCCCACAGTTGCTGTACCAGTTTGTATTTCTACCAACAATGGATAAGAGTTCCAGTTTCTCCACATCCTCATCAATATTTTCTATTTTTCATTTAAAAAAAATCAATGTCATTTAAATAGGGGTAAGATAGAATCTAATTATGGTTCATATTTGTCCGATGGTTAATGACATTTAGCATCTTTTCATGTGGTGGTTGGCCATTTGGATGCTTCTGTGATGAAATGGATTTTTTTGGATGGAGTTAGTTGTCTTTTTGTTTTTAAGTTGTAGACGTATTCCATGTATTTTAAATATTAGACTCTTGTGGGAGGCTTTTTCTCAATTCCTCCCCCCTACCCCGCCCCAAATCTGTCGGTTGTCTTTACTCTTTTTGGTTAGGGTTTTCACTGCTCTATTTCATCGTTGCTGCTTGTGCTTTTGTTGTCATAACCCAAGAGTCCATGGCCAAAACCTAGGTCCCATAGGCTCACTCCTACAACCAAACAAAACCAAACCAAAACAGTTTGTTTTATTAGCACAGAATCCACATATCATACAATTCAGTCGTTCAATAACCACCACACCCCCCAACTACCAGGACCCCAATTCTGCCTTGCAGACCTGGCTAGACCAGAGGATGCACAGCAGTACAGGTGGGAATTGGAAACGCAGGGAATCTAGGACAGATGAACC